ACCAAAAAAACCAACCTCTCAGTTACATCATGTTAGTGAGAGATGAAAGTAAAGAGACATAATGATAAATGATGGTCCTTATAAAAGCTGATTCCCTTTGAAATACAGGTTTTTGTAATTATGAACTTAAAAGTAGTTTAATGTCAGAATTGCCCAGTGTATATGGAATTCTAACACCATTCTTCTAAGGCTTTGAGAGCTTAAATTCAAATCAGTGTTTAGTGTAATTATTCATAAAGAAGTTTTTATATCTGATGCCATGGGAAAATCTGCAGTGTTTCATTATTTGATATTCTCCTAATTAAATTTTACGGTTAGAGTAGATTACAGACATTCATTTCAATCTTCTGGTTGGTGTGTTCTAGTTGGTATCTTCATTGACATAACTGCTCCTCGAACTGTTCTAGCAAAGATGAACCCAGGTACTTTATAAGATAGTGTAATCTACTTGTGAATAGTTCTGGTGGTTAGGAAATGTGGGAAATTTTGTTCCAAAGTCTAGCGTCTTATATCTTTCCAACTATTTGTCCTAGTTCTATCCTTTCAAACAAGATAGATTTTCTACTTAGTTTATCACATGACAGTCCATCAAAATAGCCAGAGGTTTCTATAATTTCCTTTGAGTCTTTCCTATTCTGGACTTGAGGTCCGTAGTTTGATTTATTTATACTCATGTTACATGAGGTTCTATCAGGATTACCTTCTTCTGGTTATATTTCATTTTTTTTAGGGTCTTAAATTTTTCCAAATTGAACAGAGTACTTCAGAATGTGAAGTGACCTATATAATATGTGATGGAATGGTTACTTACTTTATACTGGGATACTTAAATATATGCAACCTAATATCCTTAATTTTGAGGAAGCTCTATCCCACTATTAGCTCATTCTGGACATAGAGTCATCTAAAGTCCCTTTCCACAAAAGCAGTGAATAAGTTCACATCCTCTAATCTGTTCTTATTGCAGTTGAGCTTTTTAAACGTAAATGTTTAGATTTTACAATTGCCCCTGTTATGTTTCATCTTCATTGTGCTCATTGTTTTAGTTTTTTAGTGAATTTTAACATGCTAATTTGTTTTTAGCATACTAGTTGTGTCTCCCAAGTGTGTATAATTTGAGGGTTTCTTAACAGGTATTTTATTATTACTTACTATATGTAGGGCACTGGACACATTTCTTTTGTTATGGTATTGATAGTTTTTTTTTGAAGGGGGTGCACTTTAGAAGTTTATTCTGGTTAAAAGTTTCCATGAATGTCCTAGTTAACTTAGAAAAAGAAAAGGAACTTGCCTTGCCCCAGCATAATAAAACACTTCAGTAATTGTGAAAACATAATGATACTGGTTTAAGAACAAATAGACTACTGGGGCAATATAGAGAACTCAGAGCCAGATTCATTTATTTGTTGAAAACTTATTAAGATAATAAGTTCTTATTAATAATAAATAAAAAAAAATTTTTTAAGTTTATTGATTTTGAGGCAGAGAGAGAGAGTACCAGTGCATAAGCAGCAGTGGGGAGGGGGGACAGAGAGAGACAGAATCCCAAGCAGGCTCTGCTCCATCAGTGCAGAGCCCAAGGCAGGGCTCAAACTCACAAACTGTGAGATCATGACCAGAGCCAAGATCAAGAGTCAGATGCTTAACTGACTACACCACCCAGACGCCCCCCCCAAAATGGCATTTTTATTTGATTGTTTATGTATAGACATAAATAGATGGTATGGGACAACTGGCTTACTATATGGGGAAAAATAAGACTCCTTATATAACACTGTTTATAAAGAAAAACCTCAGATGGATTAATGACCAAGATAATGTAGATAAAACTATAACATTAATAAAACATAATGCATCTTTGTGCCTTAGTATTAGGAAAGTATTTAAAACATCAAAAGCATGAAACCATAAGGTGAAAAATGATTCATTTGTTGATACAACATTAAGGATTTCAGTTCATAGACATAGACATTGTCAACAGGCATACAGCATTTGGAAGAAGATATTTGCAATGACTAAACCTGTTAATGAATCAATATCTGGAATATCGAAGAAACTTCTTCAATTCAACAAGAAGACTGGGGCCATAAATGAAAAATGAGCAAAGGAAACAAGGAAATTCACAAAAGAAGAAACACAAATGCATGAAGGGATGCTCAAATTCATTAGTAATAGGAGAAATCTCAATTAAGACCATTTAGTTTGGGGCCCCTTGGTGACTCAGTTGGTTAAGCGTCGACCTCAGCTCAGGTCGTGATCTCACGGTTCATGAGTTCAAGCCCTGCATTGGATTCTCTGCTTCCGATCCTCTCTCTCCCTCACTCTGCCCCTTCCCCACCCGTGTAGTCTCACTCTCTCAAAAATAAACATTAAAAAAATAAATAAAACCTTTTAGTTTTACCTGCTAGTCTAGCAAAAATTAGAAAGCATAACTATATAACGCCAAATCTTGTCTGGGATATAGGGAAATGGGAACCTCCAGGAATGTGGATTGTGGAGCCACTCTGGAGAGCAATTTGACAGTTCGTTTAGTTGATAAAATTCACTTGGACCTAACAATTTTGTTCCTGAGTGTATAACCAGAGATTAAGTCTCACTTAAGTCCATAAAGGGACATAGTAAGAGATATTGCATTGCTTATATCATATTTGGTGGCTGCAGTTAAAGTCTGCATCGTTGGGTGACAACATATGAAGTATTTTGCATCAATCAGAAACAATGAACTAAGTGTCCCACAGCAACATAAATACATTTTATTATTATTATTTTAATGTTTATTTTTGAGAGAGAGAGAGAGAGAGAGAGAAACAGAGAGACAGAGCACGAGAGGGGCAGAAGGAGAGGGAGACACAGAATCGGAAGCAGGCTCCAGGCTCTAAGCTATCAGCACAGAGCCTGACTTGGGGCTCAAACTCACAAACCATGACATCATGACTTGAGCCGAAATCGGACACTTAACCAACTGAGCCACCCAGGCGCCCCAATATAAATACATTTTAAAAACCTAGTGCCAGAGAATAAAGAAGGGAATATATACAAATAGAAGGATGTTCAAACACATTAGGAGAAAATAATTTATGAAGGGGACAGGTGCTTAGGAAATGGAGGTGGAAGGAAAGAAGAGATGTCTTACATAGATGAATAATGATATGAATTGAGGAGTATGATTTTTTTTTTTAATGTTTATTTATTTTTGAGACAGAGAGAGACAGAGCATGAACAGGGGAGGGTCAGAGAGAGAGGGAGACACAGAATCTGAAGCAGGCTCCAGGCTCTGAGCTGTCAGCACAGAGCCCGACGCGGGGCTCGAACTCACGGACCGTGAGATCATGACCTGAGCCGAAGTCGGACGCTCAGCCTACTGAGCCACCCAGGCGCCCCTGAGGAGTATGATTAACATAACCTTTCATACCTAGGAAATAAAAATGGAGTTTAGGGACTTGTTTGGCAGTGATATGTAAGTTGTGTTTGAGAAGAAAAAATAAAAGGCATAAAAACGAAGAGACTTAAAATAATCCAGGTACTGGGATATGAGGTTGTAATTTAGAATGGTGATAATTGGAAATGAACAGAACATCCTTAAGATGTTTTGTCACAGCTATTTTAATCTCCACCATTTTGATCCTGAGAGTGCTTTGATTGGGTTGCTAGGATTTGGTAAGCTTAAAATTATACCAGTTTATTGTTGAGTAAAAATTTGACAAAATAGTCAAAACATTCTTAAATATTAGATCTGTATAGTTTCGTCTAAGAAACTGGACTTGATAATGGCTGCAAAAGAAAATCTTAAATGGCAGAAAATCTTTGAAATTTGTTTTCTATATAAAAACTGATCAGTGAAGCAATCGCTCTAGAAGAATTTGCTCTTCTAGAATTTGCTCTAGAAGAGGCTTGGTCTTGATTTAAATAGTTTCAGCAAATTTACTCTAGAAGAGTAAAATTTTTTTTACTCTAGAAGAGTCTTGGTCTTGATTTAAATGGTTTCAGCAAGATGAAATTGAAGAAGGGAAAAATGGAAATTTTGAGCATGTGGAAAATTGCTCTAGGTATCAGGTCAGCTTACTGTGTACCAGAAAACGCCTTTTTCTCTCCTTTCTCTCCTACCTACCCATAGGCTAGAATTCAGTATTTTTCTTTCCCATTTATTACATTTTTAAGTGTGTTGTAAGTTTTACCAGTAATATGTAAGTATATTCTCATCATAATATATTTAGATTATTTAAGCAAAATAAAAAAATCATTCTTCACTTCTCTCTTCAGAGGTAACCACTGTTACCTATTTGGTACATATCCTTCTAGATATCTTTCTACTTTTACAAATAATGTGTGCACAAAAATAAACGTTGATTTGTGGATATTTAGTATTATTCTCACTATATTCCATTTTTTTTAAACGTAAAAGTCTTGAATATCTTTCCATGTAAGTATATATAGGATAAAAATGTTTGCTAGGTAAAAACAGGCTTCAGTATATTCTTACTGGCTAGATAACGTAAGGATGATTTGGGGAGTTGAAAGGATTGAGGGGAGTATATGTGTGTTCTCAAAAATCTCACAGTCTAGTAGAAGTGAAGCCTATAATAATTATAATGCATTGGAGTAAATGTTCTAATAGATATATGTATTAAGGTGGTATTTGAGCACAGAGGGAAGAGCATCACTCTTTTGATAGAGAAATTAATGTGTCAGGTAGTACTCAGAAATGGTAAAAGGGTTTTAGGATCATTTTCTAGGGATAATATTTTACAGGTCTACTGTGGCCCAGAACGATTTAAGTAATTCACTAGATTCATTTCTCTGTCTTTTGTGAAATTTGTATGACTTGCCAGAAATTATTCTTTCTGGTGTCCTAAGGTATGGTCCTGAAAGTAGTATCTTTATCATGTATGATTGTCTTTTAGAATTTTGGCAGCTTTAAATAGTTCAGGAATTACTTTAGTTAAATGCTTGTATTTCATCATGCAGAGGATTATGTGAATGTATTTTTTTCCTTTTTTTAGAGAGGTGGTTGACTCAATGGTTCAACATTTTAAAGTGACTATATTTGGGGATCGTAGACCAGTTTATGATGGAAAAAGAAGTCTTTACACAGCCAATCCACTTCCTGTGGCAACTACTGGGGTAAGATGCAGTTCTTTATTGGAAAGTTATACTTTGGTGATGTCTCCTTTTAAATGCACTTACTACATTTTATTATAGTCCATAGATACATAAGAGTGTATCATTTATCTTTTTTAACTTTTTATTTTGAAATAATTTAAAACATATAGAAAAGTTGCAAGAATCATTCAAAGAACTCATATAGACTCTTTACCCAGACACCAATGTTCCCCTTTTTCCCCCCAGATTATCTCCACAGGCACATTATTATTTTTTTAAGTTTACTTATTTATTTTGAGAGAAAGAGAGCATAAGTGAGTGGGAGAGGGGCAAAGAGAGAATCCCAAGCAAGCCCAATGCAGGGCTCAAACCCACAAACTGTGAGATCATGACCTGAGCTGAAACCAAGAGATGGATGCTCAATTGACTGAGCCCCCCAAGGGCCTCTCACCAGTGTTACACAAGTGTTCTTTCTTATCAGTGGATCATATCAGGATACATTTATATGTGTTTGTTCCATTAATGATGGTACTAAGTTGATCACTTGATTAAGTTGGTATCTGCCAGGTTTCTCCTGTCAAGTTTTTTTTTTTTCTCTTTAACTCTTGTGGGGAGATTTTATTTTTAATTGTGGTAAAAGACACATAACATAAAATTTACCAGCTGAGGGCTACTGGGTGGCTTAGTTGGTTAAGTGACTTCATTCAGCTCAGGTCATGGTCTCATGGTTTGTGAGTTCGAGGCCCACATTGGGCTTGCTGCTGTCAGTGAAGACCCTGCTTTGGATCCTTTGTGTCGTCTCCCTCTCTCTCTGCTCTTCCCTTGCTCATTCATTCTCTCAAAAAAAAAGAAAAAGAAAAAAAGAAAATTTACCTTCTGAGCCATTTTTTAGGTCAGTTTAGTGGCATGAAGTACATTCTCAGCCATCACCACCATCTATCTCCATAACTCTTTTTATCTTGTAAAACTGAAATTCTGTACTCATGAAACACTACATCCCCATTCTTCCCTCTCCTCAGCCCCTAGCAACCACCATTCTACCTCTGTCTCTATGACTTTAACTACTCTCAGTGACTCATCTAAGTAGAATTATATGGTATTTGTCTTTTTGTGACTGACTTATTGCACTTGGCATTATGTCCTCAAGATTCATCCATGTTGTCACGTATGTCAGAATTTCCTTTTCAAGGATGAATAATATTCCATTGTATGTATATACCACATTTTGTTTATCCGTTCATCCATTGATGAGTACCTTTTGGCTATTGCAAACAATGCTGCTGTGAACACGGTTGTACAAATATCTGTTCCGGTTCCTGCTTTCAGTTCTTTTGTGTATAAGTGATAATTCTGGGGTGCCTGGGTGGCTCAGTCGGTAAGTGGTAATTCTATTTTTAATATTTTGAGAAATCACCTTACTGTTTAGTACAGTGACTGCACCATTTTACATTCCCACTAACAATGCATAAGGGTTCCAAATTCTCCACACCCTTGCCAACACTTGTTTTCTGTTTTGTTTTGTTTTTTTTTGATAGTAGCCATCTTAACGGATATGAGATTATATCTCATTGTGGTTTTGATTTGCATTTCCCTAATGATTAGTGAGTTGAGAATCTTTTCATGAGCTCTTAGAAGCTCATTTGTATATCTTCATCCTTTGCCCGTTTTTTAAATTGCGTTTAGTTTTTGTTGTTGTTGAGTTGTAGGGATTCTGTATATATTCTTATCAGATACATGATTTGCAAATATTTTCTCACATTTTGTAGATTGCCTTTTCACTTTGTTGATTGTATCCTCTGATGCACAGAAGTTTATAATTTTGATATGGGAAATACTTTAAGGATCTTGTTTCTCATTAGAGAAAGTATTTTTATTTTTTTGAGGGGTGGGGGAGCTGCGTGAGTGGAGGAGGGGCAGAGAGAAATGAAGAGAGAGAATCATTTTGGGGGCAGGGAAAGGACAGGGAACGAAAATCTTAAACAAGCTCCATGCCCAGCACAGAGCCTAATGCAGGGCTCAGTCTCAAAACTACGAGATCATGATCTGAGCGGACAAGAATCGGATGCTTAACCGAATGGTCACCCAGACACCTCTCTCGTTAGATTTTTAAGTAATTGATGATTTTTGCTTGGAAGGATTATTACTATGTAGTAATGGTGATTTTCTAATTCTGTCATTCCTTCAACATTTATTAGTTGATATTCGACTATAAGGGAGAGAATTTTCTTCTCCCTAATATATTTCCCCTTATTTATTTCACTGTCCCAGTTTTCCTAGATTTGGCCATTGGGAGCCACTTTAAGCTAGTTCCTGTATCCCTTTGACATGACACACTTTTTTTTGAGTACTTCCTTATTTTCTGGCACAAGATGTTCCAGGCTAGTCTTATGTTTTCCCTGCTATACCCATGCAACTGGCCCTTTGTCAAAGGAACAGTGATTTCTTTTGGTTGGAGGATGCAACTTAGAAACTGAAATCTGGGTACTGAATGTATTCATTGCTGCTGGAGTGCAGGTATTTGTAAAATGGACAGATGGGACATAAAAATACACAAATAAAAGAGACAATATATCATAAATATTATATGTCATGTAATGGACTTAACACATGTATCCTACAAATACTATTTACTGTGCAATATACAATATATATATTGGAAATCATGAGTTCAGAGTGATTCTTCCAAGTTTCAGTCTGTTTCCCCCAGGATTCTTTCTTTACTCCCCATGTTGCTTATTTGTATCTTCCTTCTTTTTTGAACCTCAAAACATCACCACTTTTACTCATTTGTTCAATCCTACCATATACATATAAAATCATATCTGAATTACTACACCATACCACTACAGAAAACAAACTTCCTCATTAGAGTTTAAGATTTTATTTTGTATGCAGTTCTTTCCCACGTGTACAGCCCCCAAGATGTTCTGTGTTCAAGAGTTCATTGTATTTTTTTCCCCCTTCTTTCAGTGTGGTTATGTTATTCATTTGAAACGTATTTGGTTCCATTTGATTTTGTTTATATTTAGTTTTAATTTTTTCACTTCATTCTTCTTGATTTTGCTTTTAATTTTTAACTTATAAAACTTTATTAAAAAAAAACACAAAAAGGGGTACCTGGGTGGCTTGGTCAGTTAAGCCTCTGACTTCAGCTTAGGTCATGATCTCAAGCTTTGTGAGCTCGAGCCCCCGTCGGGCTGTGTGCTGACAGCTCAGAGCCTGGAGCCTGGTTTGGATTCTGTGTCTCCCTCTCTCTCTGCCCCTCTCCCACTCACAGTCTGTCTCTCTCTCTCTCAAAAATAAATGAACATTAAAATAAATAAATAAAAACACAAAAAAACCCTTTATTTAATATGCTTCCAGAAGTCAAAACTGTACTGAGAAATATACTCAGAATTGTTCATTCCTCCTTTATTTCTTCTGGTCTGTTCCTTCCCATCCTTTGAAAGTAATCCATTTCTTTGTTTCTGATTGATACTTCTTACATTTCTTTTTGCTGAAATAAGGTATATGAATATTTTCCCATTTTCTCCTTCTTTCTCACACAAAAGATGGCATACTATTTGTAATCTTCTCTACTTTGCTTTTTGTACTTAACAGCATAGCTTAGAAAGTATCTATTGATTTAGCATTGAGGTTGGTTTTTTATATTTTCCCTGTTTTTTCTTAAATATTTTTATAACTTAAACCTAAAAATACTTGTACTTATCTTTTTCAATTTATCAATTGACTGTTTTCCCATCAACAGGTAGATTTAGATGTTACTTTACCTGGGGAAGGTGGAAAAGATCGACCTTTCAAGGTGTCGATTAAGTTTGTCTCTCGGGTGAGTTGGCACCTACTACATGAAGTACTGACAGGACGGACCTTGCCTGAGCCGCTGGAATTAGACAAGCCAATCAGTACTAATCCTGTCCATGCTGTTGATGTGGTGCTACGACATCTGCCCTCCATGAAGTGGGTGCTTCTGGCTTTTTTTCCTTTTTAGATTTTAAGTGTGTAGGCTTTTTTCCCAAGAGTGAGTTGTGCAGGCTTCCTTTAATTAACCTTCACATGTTGTATATTTTGATGGCTTCATTTAGAGAATAGCATGCATACTAGTTCATTGACATGAGAAGTAAGTTACAGAAAAAACTCTGATTTTTGAAAGTAAATGCACATTGTTAACTTAGCTATTCTAATAGATACCTCTTAGAAAAATGTCTAACCCTTTGTCTTAGAAGCTGTAAATCTTGAATAACTGATAATGTTTTCAGATATATTCCTATAGTTAAATCTCCTTGTTCTAAAGGTAATTTTGTTGTTTATACAATAATATCAATTTGTATTGAAATTGCTGTTCTCTTAATCATACTTCACACAAGTGTGTGTTTGTATTTGTGTGCCTGTATATATAGGATCAATGTGTCCTTTTAAAGAAAAATATGTCTTGCAAACACATTTGTAGAAATAGCATTTTCTATGATTGGAACTGGTTTTTCTTTTCATCTGTTTCTAAGAAAATATTTTAAATAAAATTTATTCTTACCCAAACTAACAGTTTTAGGAATAGAGAATTTCAGTGAAGGATGCTGACAGGTTTGTTTTGTTTCTCTTAGAATGGCTGCTTTTTTGCTTTTCACAAATTTGGGGAATATTTATTTTCATATATTCCTAATGATAAACATCATTATGATAAATTAAGTTTGTGTGCTCTAGACTTAACCTCTTCTGCAAATTTAAATACCTATATGGGAAGGAAAGGACTGAACATGACATTTTAATTTTTGTAGATATACGCCTGTGGGGCGTTCCTTTTTCTCAGCTCCCGAAGGATATGACCACCCTCTGGGAGGGGGCAGGGAAGTATGGTTTGGATTCCATCAATCTGTTCGGCCTGCCATGTGGAAAATGATGCTTAATATTGATGGTAAGGGAACTAAAACCATATTCCGTATTGGGTAGTTGATTCCTGTATTGCGCACATGCACCTGTGTGTGTGTGTGTTTGTGTGTGTGTGTGCACGCGGTTTATATATAATTATATGTACTGGTGTCTTGAAGTTATATTTGGACATATATTAAGACAAAGTGGAAAAACTTTTGTGTTACATTTTATTTAGAAAGCCTTTCCACAGAAGTAGTCCTGGAATGCTATTAAGCGTGAAGTAAGCACATGAAAGCAAATATAGAAGCCTTGACATGATTATCTGAACAATCTCACTTTTGTCCATTTAATTCTTATTAATATTTCATTATGAAATACATGTTTTAAAGCAAGAGAAGTCTGTTGGTCATTTTGACCCCAGGTGTTATACCTACTGCTGATGCTTATAGTGGTACCAATTTCATTCTTATTTTTAGGTGTTTTCTATTAATGTTTTTGAGCATATTTAAAATAGGGAGAATAGTATGATAAACTACCGCCTATATGCAAACTGTCAAGTTTGTAGAAATACCTTTACTCCTCAATTAGAGTATTTTTAAATCAGATCCCGGATAGCAAGTTTTTTTGTTTCTACTACTTAAGTATGTACCTCTAAAAACATGGGTGTTTCCTTACATAGTCATAATGCCATTATCATATGTAAGAAAATTTTAAGTAAACATGGGTGTTTCCTTACATAGTCATAATGCCATTATCATATGTAAGAAAATTTTAAGTAATCATTTGTAGCCTCTAATATTCTCTCCATAATCAGATTTCCTTGATCTCAAACATGTCTTTTTATAGTTACAATCCTAATTAGGATCCAAACAAGATCCATGTATCATGTTTGGCTGATCTGCCTTTTTAATGTAGTAGTCCCATTTCCTCCCTCTTGTTTTGTTTTTTCTTTTTTTTTTATGCCATTGACTTGTTAGAGAAATTCACTTGTCCTGAAGAATATTAAAAAATCCACATTTGTCTTCTGTTCTTGTGGTGTCATTGCCTTGTTTCTCTGTCCCCTATATTTCCTGAAAGTGAAGTTGGCCCTAGAAGTTTGATTCAATTCTGGTTCAGAATACTTCATATGTGCTTCATGTTATATCATATTAAGAGGCGCACAGTATCTAGTGGTTCCAGTTTTAGTGATGCTAAGATTGACCAGTAGGTTCAGGGATCAGTAGGCCTCATCTCTCCATTGTAAATTTCCCAGTCAGCTTTTCAATGACTAATATTTTATTTAATGATCATTGTTACCCAAATCATTTATTTCACTAGGGATTACCAACTGGTATTTTTTCTCATTCTTTTATTCCTTTTGAATTAGATGGAATTCTTATGTGAAAAATCACAATGTCCTATTGGTAATTTAGTAGTCATTGGTAGCTTTTTTGCTTTCTGGGACAGTAGGATATTTCAAGCTTATCTTATATTTCCTACCCTGTACCTGGAATCAGCCATTCCTTCAAGGATCCCTATGTCTCTTCAGATCACTATATAGTTTCTGCATTATTTTCAGCTGCATCTACCATTGTGGGTATGTGTCATTGAGGAGCTATATCTCAAAAGTCCTCTTTCAGTGTATATTAGAGCTGTTTTTATTTGCCATTTCAGAACATCATTTCATGTATATGTAGATCTTTAGAATAGATTTCAGGACATAATGGGTCAAGGGCAAATGTGTTTGTAATTTTGGTCATTATTGCCGAATTGCCCTTTTTAGAGCTTCTAAATATTGTGCATTCGAGAATGAGACTACCTGTTTTGTTATGTCTTTGCCACTAGAGGTGTCAAACTCTAGATTCTATTAATTGCATTTGCAAGAAACAGTTTCCTTATCTACTTTTATTTTGCATTTGACCATCTTTTCATATGTGTAAGGGTCACCTTTTTTTTTATTAGCTATTTATATCTTTTGCCTTTTTTCTTTCTGTTGGATTTTTGGTTTTCTCATTTACTGAGAGCTTTCTAAATTAAGGAGATTAACTCCTTGTGTCACGAATTGTAGATATTATCCCTAATTATTTGTCTTTAACCTTTGGTACAGTCTTGTTTTTATTTTTTGCCATATAGAAATCTGTATTTGGTTGGGAGATGGTAAATACATACACACAAACACTTAAATGTATTAGTCATTTCTTTTATGACTTTTTAAATCCTATAGGGCTAGTCTCATTTTTCTCTTCAGGCTTTTCTAGGCTATCCTTACTTATTTTACCATGTAAACTTCAGGAACTTCTTACCTAGGTTCAGTGGGTGTGGGAGGATGGGCTGTAATTTTTTTTAATGTTTTATTTTTATTTATTTTGAGAAAGAGAGCAAAAGCACAAGTGGGAGAGAGGGAGAGAGAGAATCTTAAGCAGGCTCCATGCTGTCAGTGTGGAGCTGGAAGCCTGGGGTCCAATCCCATGAACTGTGAGATCATGACCTGAGCCAAAGTCAAGAGTTGGTCTCTCAACCAAGCTACCCAAGCACCCCAGGATGGACTATAATTTTTATTGAAATCTCATTACATTTAGAAATTGTTAGGACAAATTGACATCTTTAAGATACTGAGTCTTTTCTGTCCAAGAAAATGCTATACCTTTCTATTGGTACAACATTAGTTTTGTTTTCTTCAGGAATGTTTTAAAGTTTACCTTACATGAAAGTTGCACGTATCTTCTTGTTATTCCTAGATATTCCACCCCTTCCCTTTTTTGCTATTAAATGGGTTTTATAGATTCTAACTGGTTATTGTTTACATACATGAAGGCTTTTGACTTCTGTGTACTTTATGTCTGCCTTATTACATTTATGTTTATAGTAGTTATTCAGGTGGTATTCTTGGCATTTCTAGTTATAATCGTTTCATCTACAAATAGTGATAGGTTTAACTATTCCTTTGGATTTTTATACTTATAATTTTTGTCTTATCAAATTATATTGACTAATTAGACAGTGTTAAGGAGTAGTGACTAGCAGGCATCCTCTTTACCTTAGGAATGCTTCCAATGTTTCTGCATTAACTATGATACATATATATGTATGTGTATGTATACGAGCATCTGATGATTCCTATTTTATTAAGTACTTTTTAAAAAAATGTTTTATTCATGTTTTGAGAGACAGAGACAGACCATGAATGGGGGAGGGGCAGAGAGAGAGAGGAAGACACCGAATCCAAAGCAGGCTCTAGGCTCCAAGCTGTCAGCACAGAGCCTGATGTGGGGCTCAAACTCACAAACCTTGAGATCATGACCTGAGCCGAAGTCAGACACTTAACCGACTGAGCCATCCAGGGGCTCCTTATTAAGTACTTTTAATCAATAATAGATAGTGAATTTTGTCAGATTCCTTTTCAACGTCTATGGAGCTGATAAGATATTTGTCTTTTTAACAAACGTTGAACCGAACTTGTATTTCTGGATTCTTTTAATGTGATACTGTATTCTGCTTGCTAATATTTTGCCTTTTTAATCAAAATGCAAAAGTAAGTTTGACCTGATCTGTAATCTTCTTTTTTGTGTGTGATCTTTTTCAAGTTTTGGTATTAATCTTATATCTCATAAAGAATTTACAAGTTTTGTTTTCTAAAATGTACAACAGTTTTTAAATAGTACTAAACTTGTTAACTCTTTCAAGGTTTGATAGAATTCTCTTGTGAAGTCTGGTGTTGTGGTATGTTTTGTTTTCTTGATGTATAATAGCTCTTTGAAAATTGTTCCATTTGTTTTGTGAAAACTAGTTTTTTAGGCTCAGTTTGTGGTTCAGATTTGGTAGATTTTATCTTACCAGAAAATTATTTTACCTGTATTTGATATTTTATAGAAAGTTTTACAAAGTCATTTCTTATTTTTTGAAATTGTGTCTACTTCTGTGGTTTCCTCCCCTTTCTTATTTTGTATATCTGTGTTTTGTCCATTTTACTCTTGATTAGGATGGAGTAGTTTAAACAACTGATTTCAGTGCCTCCCCAAACCCCCAGCAAAAGAGCTTTTGAATATTTTGGGTTTTTTTTAAGCTCTCTGGCTTTCTGTTTTCTAACTCCTTAATTTCTGCTTTTAGCTTTATAAATGTTTTCCTCTACTTTTTTCAGTTACTTTAGTTGTTTTTCTAACTTTTTGAGCTATATTAGTAATTCATTTACTTTCATCTTTTCTTAATGATGAAAGTATTTAAAGTAATGAATTTTCTTCTGATCACTGTTTTAGCTACATCCCAAAGCCTCTAATATGTAGGATTTTTATTATTGTCCAGAAACACCACGAATTTCATTCATATTTTCATTATTATCCAAATATTACTTGAGATTTTTGAAATTTGCAGGTTGAAGATCTTTGTATTTTCTGTTATCCATTATTTATTTTCCGATTTTCTGATTTTCTTGGGTTGTTAATCAGAGGATATGGCGTGTATTTCCCCTATTAGAATTTGTTGAAGTATGTTTTGTAGTCTGATACATAGTCAATTTTTGTGAACGTTTAATAGCTATTTGAAAATAGGTATATTTATTTATTATGATAGAGTTAAATGAATATCCATCTGTGCTTACCATTTTGATTAGGTTGTTTAGATCATTTCTTAGTTACTTTTGTTTAATTGTTCTCTAAGACTAGGGGAAATAACTTAAAATTTTCTATTATTATTGTGTGTCTCTCATATCTCCTGTGATTTCTGCTTTCTTAATGTTACTGCTACATTTTTAAGAGCATACACACACACACACACACACACACACACACACACACACACACACACACCCCTGTTCATTGTGAATTGTACCTTTTACATGATAAAGTGAATTTTTTTTTTTAATTTTTTTTTAACGTTTATTTATTTTTGAGACAGAGAGAGAGACACAGCATGCACAGGGGAGGGTCAGAGAGAGGGAGACACAGAATCTGAAACAGGCTCCAGGCTCTGAGCTCCGACGCGGGGCTCGAACTCACAGACTGCGAGATCATGACCTGAGCCGAAGTCGGACGCTTAACCGACTGAGCCACCCAGGCGCCCCAAAATGAA